AACCTGATAGGAGGAATAATCCATATTTTTGTGGGATTCTAACATCCCCGACCAAACCATCCGCAAACAGAAGTCCATTCGTCGCTCTTATCCTCTCATCCATAGAGAAAAACCTGCCATGACAATAGCCTTCAAACAATAACCTCCACAAGCCACCTTTACTCACATGAGTGACATCCATCCTGTTGTGGCGGCTCCCAATAGCTTCACTGGTGGCCGTCCGACACGAGATGAGGATTTGAACTTCTGTCTTCTAGAGTTGAAACGATGATTTGGATTACCTTGTGGCTTGAAGTTTTTTTATTTATCTAAAAAAGTTACATTTTATTAAAACAATTTACATTTCCATTAATCTCAAGTTACATACTAGGGAAATTTCCTAAGATATGACTAAAACTCAATGGGTTTCCCGATCTATGACCTAATTAGTTTTTATACCTTTGTATGACCGAAAATCCCAAAAAAAAAAAGAAAATTCGTTTATATTTAAAGGTTTAATGACGAAAATACCCTTATTTAAAATATGTGCATTTTGCACTAATTTCGTCTAATTAAAATTACTGCATTTTATATATTGTCCTTACTGCACAAAATTAATGCATGACTTTACTGCACATCCTATAATAATCATTGCACTTCTGCTAAAATTAATTCTCTTCTCATTCACTTGAGGAATTTCTTTTATAGATTTAATCATTTTATTATTTTACGTCAAATTAAGTATATTGCATTTCATGATAGCATTATTACTCTGTCTCACTGCCTTACTGGTCTTTATCACTGCACAATAAACTTGTTCAATGCATTTATTCAGTGCCATGTATAATACTCCATATTATTTATTTACTGCCCATAGCCCCATACACAAAAAAAAACCTACCTTACTGCCCACTGCCCATTGCCCATATACACAAGATTTATTGCCTTACTGCCCACTGCCCAAAGCCCCATACACAAGATTTATTGACATGTTCATTTTCAATGCCCAACCAGCAACTGTTCACGGAGGAGGAAGAACGGCCAACACATTTTCTTCCAAGATTACCAAGATTCTTCCACCGAATGGACGACCACCAAGATTCTTCCACCGAAGCTCTCTCTAACCTCTTCCGCTGATTCTTCGCCATCGGAACTCTGGGTGGGGACCCACTTAGCCACGACCCTTACTCCATCTCACCATCTCCATCTGACGGAGAACGTAATTGAGAAAGAGACGAAGATTACAGAGAACGGCCTGAGACGACAGCAGGTGGCTGTGCTGCGGGCCACGGAGCGGCGGCGGACGGCGTGCCATGGAGCGGCGGCGGCAGGGGGCATGCGGCAGAAAATGGGTTGATTTGTGGAGGTGTGAGAATGGAGGCTAGGGTTGGAGAAAAGATTAGGAGCTTAGGAATTTATAGATATGATCTAAAGGGTATATTTGTCCACCTAAATTATGTATTTATTTATTTATAACGAATTTTAATTAAATATTATGAATTTTAATATTATTTTGTTAAAAAAACTAGTTAGGTCATAGATTGGGAAAGTGAATAAGTTTTAGTCACACCTAGGATAATTATCTCTACATACTATGTATCTATTAGTGTGAGTTATATCTCAATTTTCCTCAATAATTTATATCTTATTTACACGTGATTTACATTTATCAGAATGCGATTTATATCACAAAACAACGCGAGTTACACAACAAAATACACCCTTGTTATTCAAACAAAAATGATTTTATTTTAAAAAAATCATTTTAATGGCTCTGATATAAAAAACAAAACATTTGCACTATTTATGTTAAATATTGGACAATTACACTCCTTTTTTCATTATTTACATTGAAATCAGTGTTTTACTTCTTATATTCTGTTTTATTACATTTCAACTTGACTCAAGTTACAATTTTTACCAATATGAGTTACATTCCTTTACACATGAGTTACACCAGACTACTGCTGAAATTTAAAAAAGAAAAAAAGAAACCCTGGGAGCAAAATGCTCAAGGTGAACCCCTCCCACGGTGTACCAACTGACGAATGACATACTTAGTCACATGCTCGCACCTGCTTTTATCAATTACAGCTCACTGCGCAACAACAATTAGGTGTTTAGATGTTAATTCTATAATTAATAACAATTTATATTATTAGGCAATTAGGTTGTTAAATTTGTAAATATTTCACAATTATACTTTATAAACAAATAATTTTTTTTGGGTTTGTAATTGTTAGTTAATAGGTAGTAGCTTGTATTTTGACATAAATTTTAAGGGAAAAGGGGCAAATAAGCTCACGTACTAACAAAAAAGGTCAAATAAGCCCTTATATAGGAGGCTCTGTCCGGGCATCGCCATTTGGGGCAGTTCCTGGTGGAATTGTTTGATGACATTTTTTAAGAATCTTATTCATCAAGTCTAGTTTACTCATACCAAATTTCAGCTAACAATTTAATTGGGAAGACATTCAAATAAATTCTTGAAGATAATTGCGCTTTTAACTGCGGAGTTATCTTTAAGAATTCATTTGAATGCCTTCCCGATAGAAGTTTTAGTTTAAATTTGGTATGAGTAAACTAGACTTAATGAATAATATGCTCAAAAAATTGCATCAAAAATTTCCACCGGGAACCGCCCCAAATGACGACGGCTGGACATAGCCTACTATATAAGGGCTTATTTGACATTTTTTGTTAGTACGTGGGCTTATTTGCCCCTTTTCTCAACTTTTAATATTTTATTAGTATTTTGATTTTATCATCTTGATAGATAGTGGTTCTAATTTTTTAGAAGAAAAAGAAAAGCCTATTTTTTTCTCTTGCACAAGGCCTCCATTTTTTAGGACACTCCCTCTGCTATATACCGTAGGGGTCACAACAATACATGAAGAAACCTCCACAATCGACTAAGGGAATATTATCCCGTCGAGGCCGAGTTCACCCCCGAGCCGAGGTCAACTGGTTCTCAGATGAATGAAAGAACTCCAAAACTGTGGCCGAAGCCGAGCCTACCTCTTGGGTAGAGAGGTCAAGCTCGAGCCCGATCGTTAGATCAATGAAGAGCTCAAAGATTGTAGTAGGGGCCGAAGCTGCCATCAAGTCTTTAAATTAGCGAGACATGCAACCCCGAAACAGCGGCAAAGGCCAAACTCCGCACACTACATAAATATCTGAGGAAGCCGATGAAAGGTGGAATTATTTTTATCAATTTTTCCTTTATTAAACAAATCTAGAATAGAGAAAGGGACTTATAAAACACTCATCCAAGTTAAATTTATATTCTTAAAATTAAATCCATTAAGGAGAAAAATTGTATTTTAGATATTTAATTATGTATGTCAGTGTGTGTGGAGAGAGTAAGAATATGTTTCCATTCTTTTGCTTACTTGTACTATATTATTCATTACCTTTACTACTTCTCCATTCAACATTGTGTCAAACTAGCAAACATTACAATATAGAGAGAGTATTAATTTGTAAATTTTTAGTTTATAACTAGTTGTGAATTCTAAAACGATAAAAATAATAAGATGTTAAATAAAATAAAATAAAACCCCGAAATAGGAGTAATAACTTTTTGGAATTCCAAAAGAATTGTCATATTTTTATTCTCTAAATATGAGTAAATATTGTTAGCCTTAAAAATATTACGTAGTATCATGTTTAAAGTCTGATAATGTTGACATTAATTACTTCTATTTAGGGAATAAAAATGGAAAATTTCCTTATGTAAGACTAAAAACGTTTGTGTATTCCAAAATAGAAATGTCATGTTTTTATTTCCTAAATAAGAGTAATTACTGTCATGTTTTGGTAGTGCCATACTTTAAACATGACAGTGTTTTCCAAACTTGGCAGTAATTAGTCCTATTTAAGGAATAAATATATGACAATCCCATTTTGGAATTCTCAGACATTTTTACTCATATTTCGAGAATTTTCTCAATGAAATATAACAATCCAATTTCAGAATTCATAAATGTTGTTACTCCTATTTAGAGCAATTTTTGTAAATAAAACTAATTGCTAATTAAAGGGAAAATTAAATAAATACCCCTAACTTTGAAGGGATATGAGATAAATACTCCAAACTTGTTTATGTAATATATATACTCTGAACTCTATATAAAAATTTATTTTCGCATCATAATTATATGTTTTTTACAAATATAAATTTATAAATCTATTGCAATAAGTACAAAATTTAAAATGCTCTCAGCTTTATTTTGATATAACTTGCATTCTAAAATTTCATTTGTGAAATGAATAATATTAATCCGGTACAATCAAATTTTAATTGCATCCTCACAAGTGTATTGCATATTTTAAATTATTATGTACTTAAGACCATAAAATTACATTTGTGAAAAAACATATGATAATGGTGCTAACAAACTTTTTATATAAAGATTGGGTATATATAAATTATTTCACAGTTTAGGCCTTAGGGTGATTGCTTCACATCCCTTCAAAGTTTAGAATATTTAAATTATTCTCCTCTTAATTGATTTAATTTTTCGCACTCTATTCTAGAAAACAAAGTAAAACGGAAATTTATCAATCCGAGACCTGAAAGATAGACGAACCATCAATTCAGGACCTGAAAGATGAAACGTATCGGTATAGGACCCGAATGATGGAAAACTATCAATCTAGGACCCGAATGATTGAAAACTATCAATTTAGGACATAAGTTTTCATAAATTTTATTATTGTTTTTATTAAAAAAATTAAATAATATTTAGTTTTATTAAACTAATAAACTTTTGTGAAGAAAATTTCACCAAATATTAGCAATGGAATTAATAAAAATTAAATAAATCAAAACCTATGTAATGTTAGGTCCAAGATTGATAGTTTTTCATCTTTCGAGTCCTATACTGATACATTTCATCTTTCAGCTCCCGAATTGATAATTCGTCTATCTTTCAGGTCCCAGATTGATAAAATTCCTAAAACAAAGGGGTGGGGGGATTCAAGCTATTCATATTGAGATTATGAGATAATAAGCGGTCAGGAAGTATGTTTCTTAATCAAGCTATTCATATTGAATATACAAGATTAATAAATTAGAAAATGCAAACCATTTTCAGTATCAATTATCGTTGCAAAAATGTTGCTAAAGGCTAATTAATTAATCACAAGAAATTCTTCAACCTTAATAACATATTGTACTCAAAATGCTACGGAGTCGTTATTTTTTTTTTATGAAACACAGCAGCCGCTTGCAGCACATCTTCTTCCTTGACAGAACTACGACGAGAAGTCTGTTTCTTAATCACGCGTTCCTGCAACCAGAAATACCCTAAACATATCAACAAAGAACCAAACTTGACACAGAAACATCAAATGATTTCATTTTACTTCGTTTATATACAATCATGTTTTCTTACATCACTCAGGAGCAAGTCGCGAGGCTCTAGCATGTGGATCACTTCTCCCATTCTAGGCCTGTCATCTGCATCCGGATCAACACAGCGAAGAGCTATGAGTATAATCCGTTTAAGTTCCACGGCTGAAGGCATTTGGGGTAACTTTGGATCCACTAGCTCATCAATTCTCTTGCGTTCAACCATTATCTTTATCCAATCGTTCAAACATTCCTGCATCAAAAGCATGTTCCGAAGTTTCATAAGAGCCCACTGGAGAAGAATTTGACAATATGTAGACTAATAATACCTTGAATTCCAAGGAGTTAAGGAGACCTAGATATCCAAATCTTAAGTATGCAGAATTGAGTTTGGTATATATGGAGTATTAAATAACAAACCAGCACATAAGGTTTGTTTGGTCCTAGGATCTCAAAGGGGAAGGGGTGTTTAGTTTTTAAATAAACATCACATTTAACTGTTTAAAAATAAAATGTAGATGAAAATACACACATAGATATATGCTATAACTAACCATCGTTATTTGTAATTTAAAATTAATATATAAAGATAAATGATAAGCATCTCCTTTGTTTCCGTTTAAAATCCCCAAACCAAACAAGCCCTAAAAACAAACAAAAAATGTCACCTCAGTTTGAGTAGCAGTGTTGAATGTATGCATCTTGCCAGATACGATCTCCATGATAAGTATACCGAAGCTATAGACATCGCTTTTCTCATCAAGCACTTCAGTGCATGCAGAATCTAAGGGACTGGTTATGCCAAAATCGGATATCTTGGGATTCCATTGCTTGTCAAGTAGTATTTTGTGTGATCTCAAGTTCTGGTGTACCAGTAACGGTTCTGAATCTTCATGAAGGAAAGCCAAACTGCAGTAACAAAAAATCCATTTATTCACACCATTCATTTTTAACAGTGATAAATTTAAGCACGAGAGATTATTCTGGGGGGAATGAAATCAACATACCCTTTTGCCACGCCGATAATAATATTCATCCGGATGCTCCACGTTAAGGGGCTAACTTCCCTTGCATAATCGTGAAGCCAATGTTTTAGGGTACCATTGTCTACATATTCATACACAAGTGCCCTATCACATATAAACCTAATGGTTAGTTAACTCATCTTAAACTGCACACATTATCATACTCCAAACCACACTATTTGAGTACAATTTAGGACTCTAATTGATGTACAGTCATAAGGAAATTCCGTTAAACCACAATTTATGTTTGTCCATGCTAAGGAGTTTTCTATCAAAATTATAATTTACTGTGACATGAGGTGCTGACATGGACTTTTTTCGCAGTTTATGAATGCAGGTAAACCTATTGGTTATTGAACATGATTCCAAGTAAAGTTGCGGCACAAATAAATGAGCAGAGACTTCTCTTACTAGAACAAATCAGCAAACTCTACTTTAAAAAAAATCGATATGAGATTCTTACACATTCTTATTACAATAATGAATCAGTTTTAATAATTAAAATTTACATACTTAGACTACATTAAAAGTTCTGCATAATTGCAATATCCAAATTAGAATTTAATAAAAAATTAATATGTTAAAGAAGTAGATCAAGTGAAACTTTGTTTGATCAAGAAAAGTTGACTTCGCAAATCATTTTTGGACGGAGGGAGTATGATGGTAATTCTTGTGTTTCACATCCGAGGTTGTGATACGAAATTTGATAGTACGAAGTAATTAAAACTTGACTATATTAAGGTACCTGTACATTCCTTCCATGCAAAACCCTACTAACTTCACCAAGTTTCTGTGCCTTATACACCAAACTCTCTCAACCGATCTAATAAACTCCTCAACCTCATCGCTGTGGATTATAATAAAACAAGAAACATTAACATAATAAATTTGAATACAATAATTATGTGTGTTTGTATTTTACTACAGTACTATTTTTATTTTTTTCAACTTTAAACCTGTTGCTTAGCAATCTTTTTATGGCGATCCGGGTATGATTCGACAAGACACCACGATAAACAATGGCACGATCTCCACAGCTGATCAAATTCCAAGAAGCAAAACCATTCGTTGCACCTTCCATCTCCTCCAGAGTGTACCGGTTTCTAGGCCAACAAGACTCTATATCGTCCCCAAAGCTACTCATTCTTCTGCTGTATTGACTGGGGAAGCGGCCAGTAGAATACGCGGCTCGCTTCTCTGGCGTCCCCAAGCTGAGCTCGATCTCCATCCCTTTTCGCGAAAGCAGCCTTTGATTCATCGAAGAACTGCTATAAGGGTGAAAGCGTTTGGATGCTGAAGGCTTTGGTGCATTATGAGTCTTTTTGAGGCATGAACACTTTATCCAAAGAATGATGAAGAGAACGAGTAATATGATGAGAGATGCGCATATCACAATCACAATCCATAGTTTTATGCCGAAGAAGGAAGTCGGAACTGAGAGTTTCTGGGTAATGGACGATATTATGGAAGGCATGAGGAGATATGCAGAAAAATTGCATAGTAATGATGACGATTTAAGTTTGCGCAGTAATTATAGGTTAATGGAGTTTTTATGGAACGAGGAGATTGAACTCGAGTATGACTCTGCTTTTAAAAAAATTTAAATTACCGGAATAATCGGGGCCTGAGAGCTGTCAGCTAACGACTGATCTTTAATAATATTTTAGGCAATTCTTATTCTTTATTTACGTCTCCTCATTACAAGACCTGTTCTGTTCTAGACTTCTAGTCCTCCCGGGAATAAAAGTGAAAATATAATCAATTCACAGAAAATATGAGGGATCAAATGAGACGAATTAGGGTTTTGCAAGTAGTACCTCAGCAAAGTAAATCTATGATAAACAGCCAAGGACGAGACTTCTGAGCTTGAAATCACCGCAGCTACAAGATAAGGACGTTTTCTTCTCTAATTTCTCTTCCAAGAGAGGAACCGAAACCTGCTTCTAATCACCCTCCCAATTTTCCTGGGACCGAATATCAAACTCGGATTGCTATTTCTCATCTTTCAGAACAAATCAGTGATGGAGTCAGGGAGGCATTGGAGGGGCCTCCCCAATACTTTTTCCTAGTACAAACTCCGTATTACACAGTTCAGGCTTGAGATCATCCACTCTCAAGACTCGTCTCTTATTCATAGCAATGCGATTTTCACGTAAGAGATTCGAGCAAACGATCACACACTTTACCAATTATACGGAGAAGAAATGATAAATTGCACCAAAGGGAGCCCCGATCTTGTTCTTCCGCTTATAAGCTTATTACTAACTTTTTCTTCACAAATTTTATTGATTAAAATTAGTGTACAAAACCATTTTAACTATGGTTTGATAGTACGTACTCTATTCCTATTATAACTTTCAAATAGGTTTGTCACACAATTTAAGATAATGAGTAGTGTGGTGGAGAGTTGTACAAATGGGAGAGAAATGTGTAAGAAATGTTGTGAATCACATATTCTTTACCAAAAAGGGAAAGTATAAATTTTAATTGGAACAGATGAAAAAGGAAAGTTGGAAGTTATAATAGGAACGGAGGGAGTAAATTTTTTAATTTATTTTATTACTACTTCCATCCTAATTTGATGGTAGACTCTCAATTTCATTAATCAAACTTTTATCAAATTTGATTTTTTCTTTTACGACATGTAAAATGTTTAATGTAGTTTGTGAATATATAATTTTACTTGCTACAAATAATTTGAGTGCATACAGAGATCTGTTTGCTTTATCATCGGTCAAGCATCATAAACCGCAACGAGACCATTAAATTGGGATGGACGGAGTAATAACATATATTTTAATTTTTTGTTATTATTCAACAGAATCAGTCAATTTAGAATCTTTAGCAAGAATATCATAAATAGCAGCAAAATTAGCCGATTAAATTGATTTCAGTGTTACCAAACAGGTAGGAGTGGACTCGGGCCGGGCCAACCGGCCCGGTGAACCGGTTGGTTGGCCGGTTCGGGCCACCCGGCCCGGTGGGATGGTGGTTCGGGCTCGGGCCCTTCAAAAGGTGAACCGGCCCAGCCGATTCGGGCCCGGGCCGGGCCAATTTTTTTTTTGATTTTTTTTGAATTTTTTTGAATTTTTTTTAAGTTTTTGGTTTGGGCTGGGTATTTTGGGCCATTTGAGGTGGTTAGGGTTGGTTTGGGGGTGAGGGGGAGGGTTGGGGGTTAACTAGGAAAAGCCAAAAAAAAAAATAGAACCGAGGCTCGGCCCGGCCCAGACCCGGGGGGTTACCCGGGCTGGTTCCGGGCCTCCCATTCATGAACCGAGGCCCGGCCGGGCCCAGGCCCGAACCTGAACCGGTCCATCCCTACAAACAGGCTCCAAATTTGATAAAGAGCCCGTTTGGTAACACGAAAATCGGCTGATTCGGCTGATTCTGCTGAAATTTATGAAGTTCTAGCTGAAGTGGATGCATTGGTTGATTATGCGGATTTAAGAAAAAAATATTTTTAAAATACATTTTATTAATAAAATAAAAGAAATTATATGTAAAAATAGCTAAAATGGTCATCTACGATAACTTCAGCCAACAACCAGAAAAGTAACTACAACCTTACTTTTTCTTATTATTACACAATTCAGCGCGAAAACAAAAATTACGTGTTTGATAAAAAAAGTTGGCTGATAAGTCTGATAAGTCGAAAAATAGTGTTACCAAACAACCTCAAAGTGTGTGAATTGATAAGGAAGCAGGTCTAGTTAATAGTGATGAAAAGATGTAAGAACGGTAAAAAAAACAGGGGGAAAGTAGATCAATTGAGACCAGCCTATTGCAATTTTTTGAGTTTAATAAATACTTATGTCACCGTAATTATTTAATTTTGACTTGATTTGAGCAGAGTTAAAAAGTGCATCATACGGGCTCTGTTGTGCATCTCATTAGGTTAAATGTGTGAGTTCTCACGTTCTCAATTAAACATTGTTCTCATTGGAACTGCACGGCCTACACACACAACTGTTCGTATCAAGAATTTCTTGACTAGAATGCCGTCCGGACACCTTTATTTGAAGTGCTTCCGGTGTAATTTTTTTATGAAAATTTGTAAACATGTTTTCATTGAAATGTAGATTATGTCCACCAACTTCTAGCTTAAAATACAATCGGAAAGTTAGTTAAATAAATTATTAAAAAATGTTGTGTTTTTATATGCATTTTTTCCGATGCTTTTCAATAATTTATTCAACTAACTTTTGGTTGAATTAAATTTTGTGAGAATGTTTTTCATAAACTATAGATTACACCCATTGTTGAAGGTAAGTCCCGTAGATCCGAAAGCCCAACACGAACTTTGGATATATTAGGAATGGATCAGAATCAAAGTGTATAACAAAATATAAAAGATGAATCCACTAATACCCAAAAGCCCACTTGTATTAATTAACCTGTCCGATTACAAGGAAACTTCCCGATCGGTAGGTCGGAACAGTGCTTTAATACAGGAAACAAGAGTAATAATGCTATTCTAGAGCTTGAGTATTGAAATGTTAACCCTTACAATGATATTAAACCTTCTATTTATACTAACGGAGAGCATGAGCTGCTCTATGTTGATTGGCCGTTGTTTCACCGACTTGATCAGCCATGTTTCCACTTGCTGATGTCACAATCTGGCATTAATTGCACCTGGCCACTTGCTGGTTGCCCGTTGTTCGAACGGGATGCTGGACCTTGCGGATGACGCTGTCAATTTGGCCCAAGTATGATATCTGGTCCGAACTCCGTTCGGTATCTCTTCTTTCTGGGCCAACCTTTACTCAGACCGAACCCCGTTCGGTATGGATTCTTCACTGGATCTACTCACCATAGGGTAATGGACTCGTTATGGGCCTCCGGGTCAATATCCCAACACAAGTCCCCCACTTCCGATGTCCCGAATGAAAGTGAGTGCATTAGGAAGTATGAACACCAATGTTGCGACTGCCGAATGGTGATCGGTGTACAGAAGTGATCAGTTCCCCATACTGTGATTTGACGGCTGTCGTTTGCTTTTCCCTATAGTTTTCATGATTACTGTCGTTTAGTCTTTTCATTAGACACGCGTTTTGCTTAAATGGTTTTAGTGACGTGTCGCTCCCTGATTGGTCCTCGATACGGTGGTTTTAAGGCCATAAATTAGTCTTTAGCTTCTCAATTCCGGGTTTCGAATTTTCAATCTCCTTCGCATCGTTGCTCTGCTTCTGAACTTTTTCCTTCAAGCCTTCGTGTTCAGGTAGTTTTCCTCCCTCTAATTTCTTGCTTTATTTATGGCTCGGTCGAGATGAGTTCTCAACCGCATTCCCCTGATTCGGAAATGGCCTCTCAAGGAGATGACTGTAATGTTGTCGTCGTGGACGTCATTACAGTCCCATTCGCCGGTGGTTCTACTAAAACAACAACAAATACTAGGGCGAAGGCGGAGGGCCTTTCTAGCAGTTCATCTTCCTCCGGTGAAAGCTCTGATGACACGAAATCCGAAGATGAAATGGATTTAATGGTGGCCGGGCGCCCGAACGATGTTCCCCGTCATACACTCGACCTAAGTTTAATTAGGGCAAGACGGCAAAAATTGAATGCCAATAATAGGGCCGAAATTCCGGCCCTAATCCCAGATCCAGTGGACTTCCGGTTGCGAGCTGGGCTTCATCCCCTGCGTCACGCCCCCGGGATGGTCGTAGTCCATTTCGATTCAGTTAGGGCTGGGCGTAGATTTCCGTTACACTCTTTTTTCGTTTCTTTTTTCAATTTTTACGAAATTGTACCTTCCCAAGTCATGCCGAACTCCTATCGGGCCATGGTGGGCTTTATTTATCGTTGCAAAGATGTCGGTGCCTCGCCGACCTTAGATTTATTCCATCAATTTTTTAAAGTAGCCCCCCAACAAACCCATGGGTATCTAGCCGCCAGTTCTCGAACAGGGCATATTCTTTTCAAGGGTAACCCCACCTCAATCAAGGGATGGAAGGATAGGTTCTTCTTTGTGTCTGTCCTGAACGGGCTGATCCCTCGCAAATGGAACGCCTTCCCTCGCAAGACTCACGACCCGGTTCTTTCTGAGGAAATCTACAAGGACGTACTTGCTGTGGAGAAAGACAAATGTTGCGATATCATGACCTACCTGACTCCTGATCGGCTTGTTAAAGTCGGGATAGGTACTGCCCGTTCTCTTGGGTTTACTTGCTTTGAGAAATCAAGTGCCATGGTCCGGGCGGTCCTTCTCGTGCGAGAAACGTTTTCTTTTTTCTTTTTGTTTGCCACGTGCTAAGGTCTGCTCGGTACTAATATTTCCCTTTGTTATTTTTTAGCTCTCAACCCGGACGTATCTATGGACAAAAGAAGAGTTCTTGCAGCTGGTGGGGTTGGCAAACGGAAGAAAGCCAGGAAGAACCCTCAACCTACTCCTTCCATAACTACCGTTCAGGATGCTGGAACTTCTCAACCCGTTCCAGAACCACAACCACTGCAACAGGTCCATCATGACCAATTTGATGCTATGTTGGTCGACGAACGGTTCGGTTCTGATCAGATGTATCGATTTCCTGAGCACTTCCAGACCGCTCAGGAGACTGGGCAGGGTGCGGGTGATATGCCCACCGTCCATCTATCTGGCCAGGTTGATCGGATCTCACTGGCGGACCCGGTTCATGAAATTGTAGAAAAAGGTGGATGTTTGGCAAGCCAGATTTGGTCTACCTCTGTTTTGTTCAACAATTTCACTGTTCCCACGCTGTCGGTCGAGCAATCTAAGGAATGCTTGGCCTTAGCAGCCCTGAAGGTATTTTACTTTTCTCACTATATTTTTCTCATAGTTTAAATTTTCTTCACACCATCTCATTTCTCGAACGACATTCTGCAGGTTGGGCTTTACAGTCTGCAGCTGAAAGAAACTCGACTGGCTAAAGAGCGGGATCTGATCATCGCTCAGACTTCTGCGGAGCAGAATGCAGCTGCTGCTTTTGCTGCTCTGGAAGCCGAACGGAAGGCCTCTGCAGAGGAGAAAAAACACCTCGAGTCAGAGCTTGGTGAACTCAGGGTTCAGCTCGGGGTCTCCCAATCCAAAGTTCATGCTGCTGAAGCTGCTTTGGTTAAGTTTGAAGAGTGCGCTCCCCGTATCCCGGACGGCCTAACTGAGGTGAAGGTTGATCTGTCTGCCGTCCGGGAATCATTCAAAGGGTCTGAGGAGTTTGCTGTTTTGAAGAAGGATTATGCGCAGCAGGAACTCCCAGTCACCTTTGGTGATTATCTCGAACGTTTTCCCACGGGTGATGCCCGCCGCAGCGAGAGGGTCAAACTGCTCGA